ATAAGTTGCATGCCACAAAGTTACACTTCACATGGAAATTTGACTTTCAATTTCGCTATACAACATCCACCGTGAGTACAGACGACAGCTTCAATAATGAGTATAAGATTTATTTCAAGCAATCAAGGAAACAAAATATGAAGATATGACAGACGAAATAAATGCATCCAGATTATTTTAGCAAACTGAGTGCTTAAATTTATATTGCGATTGGTCTATGTAATTTGCTTTAGACATTCGGTTTGCAGAAACTAAGAATCCCAATAGGATTGGGACTTTGTATGTATATTAAACATGAAGAAAAACTGATGTACACTTCCAAGTATTAAATAAAATAGTCAAGCCTTAAAAGGTAAATTCATATAGTAGCTGTATACATTTTTTCTTTTTCCAACTAAAGTACAACATCGCTTTTAATTGACTTGTGTAAGAATCTACACACAATTACAAATGTTCAATAAAGGTGTTTTAACATCATCGGTTTATTATTCTATTCAGTCAATTATTATTTTAAATCTAAAGCCAAAAAAAAAAATTCGGGTTCACGTATTGCTTTTCTTTTTTTAAAGAAAGCAACTTATTTGTTAATAAATATATGACAGGGTATATATATATTTTTGGTGTGCACAATGAATGAAAAGGGAAGGGTTCGTGAAGTCTCAGCGACTCAACGGTACAAAAGAAAGAAAGAATTGAAGTGTATAAAATTGTTGATAGACGATTCAGGTATTTCGAATTATAACAGAAGAGTATCAATTTATAGGTTTGTCAATTAGCGAGTTAAAAATGTAGAATATCGAATTAGAAAAGTCAAAAATTGTCGAGCGTCGGGTAAAAAGACAAAAATAAGATATAAAAACGAGAGTAACTCATTTCCCAGTTCTGCTGTAATCTAGAATTTATAACTTATATGTTTTTCAAAAGTTTTTAAACACCGGGAACCAATCCTCTGGATCCTTTCTTTTGAAAAATAAAATGTACTAGTCTTACATGATTATAACTTTCCACTTTGAAATTTAAATTTATACATTGAATGTTAGATTGCAATTGGAAATGGTGTGTTCTCGAGTAACTAAAGCACATTATCAATCAATATTTTTGGCAGAGTTAGGCACACCGACAGCTACCTATCCGTTATCTGAGACGCTAACAGTAGTTGGCTCTTAATTTTATACCAGTGGTTCCATGTTCTTGGGACAAATTTATTTCACCATTAACTTGGATTTGTTTTCGTTAGTTACTCGAGAACACACCATTTCAAATTGCAATCTAACATTCATTGTATAAATTTAAATCAATCTAATGAATCTAATAAAATAATAGTCGTCGCGATATAGCATTTTTGTGCTCATGCGGCGATAAACAACCAACAATCAATCAATCTCCAATAAAAACTGATTGCATACATGCATACTTTAAGTAACTCTGAATTTTGTTACAAAAAGACAATTCGAAAAATAAAATTTAAATCCATGTAGCAATAATATCTAACCCTGGCCTCCGGTATGTAAAAAAGCTTGTCCGGTTTCAGGAAAGTTGGATATGGGAAAAAATATTACATTATAATGAACAATACAAATCCAATCAATACCACGAGTTTATGCAGGTGCTACACAGGAATAAACAGTCCTTTCATCTAATTATACATGTATCATTTGTCGTATTTTTTTGGTTTCTTCCATAAAATTATTACTAGTTTATTATACAGATAGAAAAAAGAAGATGGGATAGGATTGCCATATTTGCTACATGTTTCTGTTATTGTTGCCTAATTGAGACGTACGTAACTATACATGAAAAGCCAAAATCGAAAACTAACTTTTGTGCAAACTTTTTAATATTAGGTATTACTTTTTATGTTTATTATTCAACACTTATTCATATTATTTCATGATTAAACTTGGATCGAATCCTCCAAAAATAATAGATGTTGTTTAATTGCCGATCGGACACATGTACAACTATCCATGCACCCGTCGAATTAAACAAATAGGTCGACGTATAACCTTCGACAATGAGCCAACACATACAATGTGTATATACGTAGTAATTTATAAAATATCCCGATGCGACAAAATGTGAAACAATAGCCTAGAGTATGAAAAAACAAAAACAAAAAACCCAATATGACAGAAAGCAACCATCGGATCCCCGAAAATGACTTTTTATCCAGAGACTCGAATTTATTACGGTCTTAGAATTCGTAATCATAAGAAAATTGAGCACTATGAGGTTTTGATTGACGGAAGTTGATTTTTTTTATCAGTAACTGCAAATTCAAACTTATTTTATGACCCCTCTTTTATCGAGGGGTATATTACTTTGCCCCTCTCCGTTCGTCTGTCCGTTCGTCGGTTCGTCCGGATATAGATTCATGGTTTGTCCGGCTATCTCCTCCTACAGTTTTGGAGCTACAATTTTAACATTTTAAAGGTTGTGTACACATGATCAAGTCCACAGGATTTAGATTTTTGTCAAATATTCTCAAAATGCAAGGTAGTTGGACACATTTTTATTACAAGATGCATAAAGAGATCGTGGTTTGTCCGGCTTTATCCTCTTACATTTGTTGAACTACAGCTTTAATATTTTGTAGGATGTTTGAACACATAATTCAGGTGTGCATGTCTACCACAGTATTTTGATTTTTGTCGAATATTTACAAAATGCCAGGAAGTTGAACTTTGACATTTATGTGTATTGCCTGCATAAAGAGATCATGGTTTGTCCGTCTATCTAGAGCTACTCCTACAGTTTTTTTAGCAACAGACTTGATATTTTGTAGGATATGTATACGCATAATGGTGGTGTGCAAGTCCATATGATTTTGATTTTTTTTTCAAATATGCAGTCATTATAACTAGTAGTTGGACTTTTCAGAATAAAACAAATATGGCTGGAGCATTAAAACGTGCCTTACAGAAACACACAATTTACGTTTTACTTCTGTATTGCTGTTTGCTATATCAAATGTATGCAAACCTATATCCTTTTATGCAGTGGTGCCACAAGGGGGATCTTCTTTATATGTGGTTCCTAAAAAGGTTGTTCACATAATTTTAATCGAAATATATTCATTTAATCTGAATTGCCATGGTCTTTATAATTCATTCGATGAAAATCTTTTCATTTTCGCCAATATATTTTTTTGTTCATTTGCCCAAATTAACAGGTACATGTAATTTATTATTATATTCTAATGAAACTGAAAATTGTATTTTTTTTTAGGATAAACAACAATTTTACCTGGCGTAGCCGTTCATAAATGATTTTCTGCATTTATCTTCGAAAAATGGCGTATTTAATGGAATAGAACGTTAATACAGTAAACTTTCTCTTTTTTCTCCGCAATAGGCTATCAAAAATAATTTATCTAATGTGTATGTGGTAAATTATGTGAAAAGATAAAAAGTGGCAATTGTTACCTTTCATACCTTAAGTTTCGTTCATCTGATTCTGACCAATGCTTATATACTAAATATCTATTTATATGCCGCTATTATTGTTGTTGTTACCAATTATGTAAATCAATTGTATCTGATTTTATGCCCTTTATGGGCCCTGTAATTTGGGAAATCAAAAAAAAATCTATTCATTGATAAAACATAATATGGACTGGTCCAGTGTCCAGTTTGCAGGTCATTTAATTTTCTGTACACATTCATGCACGCTCTGATTTAATCAATATACTCGTACGAAAAGGCATGAACAGTTTGAAGGTAATCTGATAATAACTTAATCCAATCAAATTGCATAAGATTCAATAACAATGTCAAGTCCACATCATAATGAGTAATAGAGGTAAACTGGGTAGGGAGAAAATGACAGATATTTCAAGTTAATATTTATGCAATAACGAATTAAAATTTGTCAACCAAAAGTTTTGCTACAATTTCAAAAACATGTCGTTCTGTATGGGTATAATTTTCGGATCTTTCATTAGCGTATTCTGAGACTACTAAGGCTATAAAAAGTTTGGATTTAAAAGTTCACACAATTATTGACTTTATACAGAAAATTCGTCCTTGTAAAACATTTAATAGTTCACAAATGATACGCGATTTTAAAGTAAAATTATTTCTTAAAACACTGCAAAAAATTTCATTCATATTGATAAAGTGATATCGTCATAAAGTGCGTTGAAATGAACAGTGGTATAGCAAACATCGAATTCCCTCACAAAATGTTATCACACACTACAGTAAAGGGAGTCAGTTAAGTTTGTCTATTTTTAGATACTATACAGGTAATCTTTTGACACTACGTATACAACCTGTGTGACCTGTGTAGTGATTTTGATTTTACGATAAATTCATGAATGAACGATAATTTTATGAATGAACATGAGCACCTGACCTCTTTGTTAAACACCTATTTAACATATAAAACCGTATTTAATAAGGAGATAATTCAGTCAAATTTTCAGTACTAAATCAACAACTGAAATGATTCCATTTTTTGATGAAACATCGTACGAACAGAGAACGGAATCGCAGGTATAAAAATGCACTTTTTTCCCTTGTAATGACCGCGGATCTATAATTTTTATAGATCGGTTGAAATCCCAAAACTAATTTGCATAATGGAAATTTAGGCGATAGCAATACATCGGAATGACCTCAAGGTCATCCTCTGTAAAAAGGAGATGTGGTATGATTGCCGACGAGATAACTATCATCCAGAGTTCAAATGAAGTGGATAAGAAATCGAACAATTTTAATAATAAAACACTTACAATAGACAGCTCTCTCACAAGCAAAAAACCCTTAACTATTAGATAAAAGGGCATACACCACAAGCACGGGGACACATTCTACAGCATCTACACAGCACGAGCAACAAACCCTGCTATCAATTAAGAAAAAAAAGGAGATTGGTCATTTAGTTAACATTAATTCAGTGTCTTTATCATTTTTATCAAATGGGGTAAAATACAATTTTATAATTAAAATTATTTTTTTATTTTTATTTTGCAGTGTAATATGACAAAGGAATTTGAAATGGAAGAGAATAAGTGCCAGCAAAGACTATTTCGAACAGATCTGCCTATAGAATTAATTATCCATATATTGCAATTTTTACCATTATCTTCAAAATACAGAGCATCTATGGTTTGTCATAGTATGTATAATGTATTTTATGATCCAGAACTTTGGCGTCAGTACGAACTGTTCATAGAAGGCGATAAAGATACACCCATGTATAGTGACTATATGATCATGAAAGCAAAAAAGGCAAAGATACTTATATCAAAGTTTGGTAAATATTTTAAGATTTTAATAATAAATCTTCATGGCCATCTTAAAGGCATGCGTAAAGATTGGCATCCAGTATTATTAAAGCTCAGTAATCAATGCTCACTTGAAAAGCTGATTTTGAAAGTTGGCACATTTTCGCCGGGATGTGAAAGTTTGCGTAAAATAATACCAAGACCACCTAAAGAAGATATGATTGCATTATTATCCCTTATTAGAAATGCTGAGAGAATAAAGCAGCTGGATATACAATGTTGGCCATTCCTTCCAGATTATCCTGAGGACCAAGACATTATAAAAGTTATAGTCAGAAACCCAACATTTCATCGATTAGAGCATCTTAGTATCCTCTGGCCCGAATCCAGGCAGATGTTATCAGTTTACCAACCGACTCTGCCAAACAAAAGAATGGTTTTACAATTAGTAAGCCACTTGAAGAACTTAAAAAGCTTAGGACTTAGATCGACAATGTTGTCTAATGATCTTTTGAAAGAGTTTGCACACTGCGAGCGAGTTGACAAGATACAGTTAATGAAAATATACGTTACACATGGCAAAAGTAATCCACAATTCCACATTCCATTTATCGATCCGTCGTCAAGGAAACGCCTAACTGATATCAATCCGAATTTCTCTGTGAATTGCTGGGTAATACCCAGAGTACAAGTAGCTGTCTTAAGTAACATGTTGACATTTGACTGTCCACTTTCAAGAGTTGTCTTTCTTGAATGGTCCAGAGTAAATGATCTAATTCTTGAATCAATCACCACCAAGTACAGTAAAACCTTGAAAAGGTTTGAACTGTAATGCGGATTGAAAAACTATGACAGCTCCTTGATAAGGATGGTAGAAGAATGCAAATCACTGAAACATCTAGTTATAAAATCATGTACATGGTATTGTTTACACTACAGAACAGTCATAGAATTAGCCTTATCACGAGGAAGTGGATGGAAAACATTTCAAATTGACGAGAAAAATATTTCGCTTGTTGACCTGATCGATCATGCGGAAAATGAAGAAATGGTGGCTCATATAGAAAACAATTTAGAAAGAATTGCAATAGATCCAGAAAATGATGATAGGGAGATGAAACGAATGGAACTGAAAGAGTCTTTAGCAGCCATACTAGGTTCAGAGTTTGTTGACAGACGCAAAGCATTAATTATCTACAGAAATAAAGACGGAGTGCAAATATGATATGATACATGTTATTTGTTTGAGAATGAAACCCTTTACATTATTTTTATGTATTAAAATAATGAAAAAGTACATTTTTTAGGTCAGCATTGAGGTTATTTTTTTTTATTATTTAGAAGCATTTAAATGTTTTTGTCTAACATAAAATGTTTTTGACAAGCAGTTTTACTGTATAATGTAACAGGAAAGCCACCTACTGAAAATTTACGCATTTCATATTCATCTGGGAATCATGTAAAATCAAATAATTTTTATTTCCACTTGTATCTGTGACAAGATTGATATATTGATTGTTGGTTGCTTAATGTCCAGTGGCAAATATTTCATGAATGTTCAGGACGAGAGTGACAAGATTGAACAATTTTCTATGTTCAGTCATATAAAATAAGGAGATGTTGAACACAAAATGAAAACAACACATTATAAATGTCATACATCTGTTTTATGGATTTACCTACAATTGTCAATGAGACAACTATCCACCAAATATATCAAATGATGTAGATGCAAACAAATATAGGACACGTTCTGCCTTCAACAAAGAGCAAAACTCATACTGCATGATAATTAAGCTACGATTAAGAATATTTTGCAAATTACAAAAAAACTCCTTCTGACTTAGGTATGATAAGTTGTATCCCTGCCTATACAGAGCAAATGGAAAGGGCATGTTGTATTGAGGCGATACTATTTTCTTTATAAAAACTCCATCCTTTTATGATAAAATTGGGATTGCAAAATAATTGAATAATTATGCATTTATAACAGAACTACTAATTTATAAACTACATCATATTCATAAAAATTATTTACAACAAAACATCCTCCTTCCATAATATAAAAAAGAAGATATGGTATGATTTCCAATGAGACAACTCTCCACAAGAGACCAAATGACACAGAAATTAATAACTATAGGTCACCGTACGGCCTTCAACAATGAGCAAAGCCTATATCGCATAGTCAGCTATAAAAGGCCCCGAAATAACAAATGTAAAACAATTCAAACGAGAAAACTAACGGCCTAATTTCTGTACAAAAAATGAACGAAAAACAAATATGTAACACATCAACAAACGACATCCACTGAATTACAGGCTCCTGACTTGGGACAGGCACATACATACAGAATGTGGCGGGGTTAAACATGTTAGCGGGATCCCAACCCTCCCCATAACCTGGGACAGTGGTGTAACAGTACAACATAAGAACGAACTATAAAAATCAGTTGAAAAAGGCTTAACTCATCAATAGGATACAAATAGAAATACATATAACAAAAACACAGAGCGGACGTGGCCGGGTACTTGAATATCCCAACAACAAAAAAACACTAAGTACTGATCTGAGAGTACTCGCAGTTACTGACAGCTAGTTCAAAGCCACTAACAACTAATAAAAAAAATAATGCTTCTAAGACTAAATAAGGTTTGTATAGGCAGGGATACAGTTTGTTCTACCCAGAAATTGTTTCTCTTTACAAAAAAATCAAATTTGAAAGCATTTTGTTATTTTATCTATTTAGGATTGCTTAAATGCAGATACTACTACTTTGTTTTACTTAATGTGTGGAGGATGTGTCAATCAACTATACATAGTATAAATTCGCCCAATTTTCCAATCTTATGATGAGCTTAATTGGTCATAACTGGGACTAGATAAAAAAAATATGTGGTATGATACAACTCTCCATCCAAGTCACAATTTGTGAAAGTAAACCATTATAGGTCAAAGTACGGCCTTCAACACGGAGCTTTGACTCACACCTAACAGCAAGCTATAAAGGGTCCAAAAAATGACTAGTGTAAAACCATTCAAACAGGAAAACCACCGGTCTAATCTATATTAAAAACGAGAAACGAGAAACATATATGAATCACATCAACAAACGAACAACCACTGAACATCAGGCCTGACTTTGGACAGGTGCAAACAAGTGCACTGGGTTAAACGTTTTTTAGGCCATGTAGTTAACAAGTATGCTAATGTTTGTCCCATGTCATTAGTACTATCTTAATTAGTTTCATTAAAGGACACACCTTCCATTACAATGGAAACATGTTTTGTTAAAGACTAGATTTCAGTAGAAGTTAAAAAATAATGGAAGATTGATAAAAACAAGTAATAAGATGTTGTATAATTGCCAATAAACATAAAAACGAAAATTTATAATACTCGACACAGGTTGACAAATTAGACTTTAAATGCAGGGAATGTGTCAAAACATTGATTATCGATTCAAAAAAAGCTTGGTTCATTTATTTGTTTTTATTTGGAACGTCTCAGTGTGACATCGAACATATCAATCATTTTCTGATATCAATGATTTGATTATGTGAGTGATTGATTGTTGGTTGCTTATCACCCAGTGGCAAATATTTCGTGCATGTTTAGGACAGAAAACAAATTAATGAGCAAAATACTATAGGTAGGTCCTTTAGTTGACCCCGTCCAGAATGAAGTTCGGGAAATTTTGACTGCCCCTGGACAATTAGGATATTTTTGATAGGGACAGAAATTTTACTTTTCATTAGGCCATCGACGGACCTCTCAAAGAGTTATTTCAAGTACTATTAAAGTGCATAGTTTAGTGTGACGTCAATGTTCACTGAACTAGTACACATTTTTGTTTAAAGGCTAGCTGAAGCCCGCCTCAGGGTGTTGGATTTTCTCGCTGTGTTGAAGATCCATTTGTGGGCTGCTTTCTGCTCTTTTGTCGGGTTGTTGTCTCTTTGACACATTCCCCGTTTGCATTCTCCTCAATTTCATAGAGCGTGGCACTTTTTAAATAACACGAGGCATCGACTTTAACGTCCCACTTTTGACTGGACGTGGCTGCCTACTTGTACATCACGCACAGCCAAACGGACTCGCCATTTTTGCAAGGATTTTACTGACGATCGGAAGAAGACCAAAGATACCATATTTTTATTCCCTAATCACATGGGTGTAGGGGGATTATTGGACAGGAAAGGTGTACGTTTGTGCGGGTGAACGGGAGTGGAGATGTGGGATGGATGGTAATACAATTATACACTTCTATATTGATGAAATTTACATAGTAAGTAAGTCTTGATACATTTATCACAGTTCTTGGAAATGTTAAATCTGTCACTACACTAAACCCGCACAAAACTTTTTAGTTGATTTTTCTCTCGGATGTCTCCATTAATGCTTCAAATGACTTTGAAAGTTATTAAGTGCTTAATTAATAGCGTGTTCCACATACACTGGACACTGCAGTAATCGCAAGTTCAGTTTTGGCAGGTTGGGACGAAGTCCAAAACCGGCTTATAGTATGGTGATATTGGTGCTTGCGGGCGGGGAGGGGGGCGTGATATCGGGAAACTGGGGTAACTTATCTGTGTAATCAACGCCTCCTACAGTTTTCAACCAAAATCCCTGCAACTTTACAGGGAGATTGTACTTATATTGAAGTTTAGCACATGCTATTAAGGAATTATTTGAAGAATTTTAACAATTCATATTTTAAACATTTAAATATTCAGAATATTTGATTTTTTTTTTAATTTTCCAGATCTAGGGCTCTTAACAAGCATATCAATCAAGTTACATGTACATACAATGCAATACAATAGATGTGGTATGAATGGCAATGAGGCAACAATCCACCAAAGTTAAAATGAAGTGGATGTAAGCATGCAATTATAGAGCATTCTTTATATAGTTTACGAAACTTTCTGCGCAAACTGGCAATTTGAGTCTTTGATATATTTTTTTTTTTATTTTCTTCTTTCTGCACGTGAATAAGCTCTAAGTTTGAGTTTTTTAAAAGGGAAATTATGATTTTCCTTCGAGCTTTTCTAGAAGTTATGAGCAAATGTAATGACAGAGTATGGTTTCTTTGACTTTTTGAACGCTCCCTTAAACGCACAGAATGGCCTTATCGTGTCAAACGGATCAGTGTAAATGATAGAAAAAGAAGCGTCAAGCATGTGGAAGAGAAAGTGAGAGAAAAAGACAAAATCGGGGACAAAAAACAAACAATAGACAACTTCACGCTGAAACTAGTGACAAACAAGAAACACTTACGGTCTTTTTAAAAACTGGAGCACACATTGTCAAATCTTCTCTGAAACAGCAATGCAACATGTTTCAAGTATCTTGATAAACATATATGTATACGTAGGTCTCGGTTGGATGAAAAATGTTGATCCTAGCAGAGAACCAATAAACACTTCTTTCTTGTTTACCATATCCGTTGTAGTGAAAAGAACAAACATTGCAGATATATATATTCCCTAGTAAGTATTAAAATATGTTAATTATACTTTATACCGTTTGACAGGTCTTATGAGGGTTCGTGTGGCTGTAGAGATGCCAAATTTGGTAATTTGGATATTTTTGTCGAAAAATCACGAAGTTTCTACCTCCTGAAATCTGCAAAACATATCCAAAATAAATCTAAAATAAGAGGTGCACACGTTCAATGTATATGCATATACATTGTGCATACTTGAAAGATCTTAGAGTTAGAGTTAAGCGCCTAAAACACATTTTAAAATTCGCCCTAAAAACTTTAAAAGTTGAAATAAGTTACAGATAATAAATAAAATTATGTTAATTTGAAAATACAAAAAATCAACATTTGCCTTAGAAAAAACAATCGGACTCTGTACCATTGAAGGGAAGGAGTCATCATTAACCCATTAGTTGAAAGCAATTCTTCCAAATGTTAATGTATGTATGTATTTTATATAATATGTAAAGGAGTGTAAAATCATACGAAAAATATTTGAATAAGATTAGTGAAAGGGAAGGTAGAATGAACTGACTTTTCATGTACCAGTTCACATGTATTGAATATGTAATTTCTACTTATAATATCAGTATTTATGATCTGCAATTGAAAATCGTATCCATTCAAATATAAGAAAGGATGAACAACGGTCCAGTGTTCAAAGTTAATCAAAGCGAGCAAACTTTAACTTTAAATATGTGAAAAATGATGCAGGGTGGGTATTGATACCCAATCAACAATAGCGTCATTATGTATTACATTTCAATTGGAAAGTAGCATGCACTTCGCAGTATTAGTATATTACTGAATACATTTTTATTTAAATAATAATGTTTATTTTTAACAAATTGAATGTAGAATACTAATTTGAAAGTATTTTTAAATTGATTATTGAAATTAGATTTCAATAAAAATTGAACTGATAAATGAGTATAGTATAATACATTCTCAATTAGTCATATGATATGAACTGCTTCAGTAACCACCCGTCGTGTTATGAAGAAAATATGTAAATGCTATTTACATCATTTTAATTTATGTAAGGAATAACTGTTTGTTTGTTTATCTCGAAGATATCTAGATAGGACCCGTTTAGAATGAGCGGTACGGATTTTGTTGTGAAATGAAATTTTCTGAGTTCGGATTGTTTATTTTTCATATAGTTATACAGACAGGTGAGTTTTATTGTAATTAAAATCAAAGTGAAGAATCAAAGTAAAACATTTATTATTATTCCAAATTAATGTGTATAAAAAAAAGATGTGACCCGGTATGATTACAAATGATACAACTCTCCACCAGAAACCAAATGATGTATAAGGTAGTGTATGACTGTTTTCATATACCTTATGTATTGAAATGAAGCTTTAACTTAGTCTATATAGTATATGATTGAAAGCTTATTGACTAAGGCATATTTCTTGTTTTTGTAAAATTTAAAGCTATGATCGCTCTTGTCTCTTGTATTTACTAGAGTTTTGTCTCTGTTTGAAAGGTATTTTCTAAAGCTGAATTCGATTCTATTTGTATACAATTATGACTATTCAAACAAAGAAGATAACCTTTCACAATAATGATTCTTTCTCGAATCCATCCATTAAGTTAAACATAAAAAAAACCCAACTCTTTCCACATTATACAAGTCGGTTTCAAACGAGTGCCATATTTATAAAAACACGTGTAACAGTTTTAAATAATAGGAAGACACTAAAAGGGCGATAAAAAATCATAAATCAATGATAAAAAACATGGCCAACAGAAAAGAGGGTGCGGATGGGGATTTACAGAATAGAGAATACTGAGCAAAAAATATAAAGAATAGAGAAAAATGGACAAAAAAATAAATAAGAGGGAAAAATGAAGTGCTAAAATATAGAGAATAGAAAATAATGATGAAAAAGTAAAAAGAATAGAAAATAATGATTAAAAAGTATAAAGAATAGAGAATAATGAATTGTTAAAATATAAAGAATAGGAAAAAATGACAAAAAAATGAAAGAATACAGAAATGGATAACCCCCCATCCAGACCCTCAGAAAACTGACAATCAGACAAAATTAACGACGGTCAACACTACAAAAAAAAAAACGTTTTAGCGACATAAACACCATCTATAAACCATGTAGATGAAACCAATTGCGTTCGTTTACCGCCCCGCAGTTCATACCCACCAACCTTTTTAAATTGAACTCAAAGTTAACCTTGAGATGTTGGCTGTTCTACTTAGACTAAAAGTTTTTGGCTGTTCTGTCAGACCAATTTATATTCTAATGCTCTTAAAGAAGTTTTTCCATTTGTATTTCCGATCTTTTGATATCGACCCGGAGTACCATGGAAAGATTGTTCCATGAAAAAAAACCTGCCGTGCGCACAGAATTTTGTTATCTAGATGATTATATAAGAACTAGAAAAATTAATAGCAACGAAATATATGAACAGTCTGAGAAAAAGTCGTATACATAAATAATTTAAACTAAAGTTTTGAACTAAACGAATTTCCATCAAAACCGGAAGTGATTCAAAGTGCTTCGGAAAAGTAAGCTGGTATTCTACGAATTAAGGTACAACTGGTTAAAGTCCGTAATCAGTCAAACAAGGTAGCAATCAGAAAAGGTAATAAAGAACCTTAAGTTCTAAAACATTAAGTTAGCATTTAGGGAAATATAATGAACTTTATACAAATATATAGTAAATAATAAAAACAAATCAATTATGAATAAAGTCGAGGATTGTGACAAATTTATAAAAAAAAAGTACCGGTAGGCACAGATCTAGATTGTTAACTGGAAATAACTCCTTCTAACATGGATTATTATTTAAGAATTGAATGCCTCTTTTTGTAACTTCATTGGGGTGTAAAAGCGTTGACCGAAGTACATTTTGTATGAAGCGCGCGCACGGTCAACGCTTTTACAACCTATGAAGTTACAAAAAGAAGCATTCAATACTTATAATTACATTTTTTAGCTAGGATCATGAAAACACGATTTTAATCAAGTTTTTATTTAATTTACCTGTGCACTTTATTGTGGGACCTCGTGTCATCATGAATGATAAATTTTATTGTGTAATGAAGTTGATTAAGGAATAACGCGAGATTGTAGTGTAGCCAATCAGAATAACGTATTATAATGAAACATACGTCTAATGTAATTATAAGAAAATAGTAATAAGTGTACCAATGAATTATAAAAAGAGCATGCTGACTATGCGGTATGGGTTCAAGTGGTACTTATTGTTGAAGGTCGTACGGTGACATTTAGTTGTTTATTTCTGTGTTGTTTGGTCTCTTGTGGATAGTTGTCTAATTGGTAATCATACCACATCTTCTTATTTTTATATGATATTTAGGCCACATAAAAGATATAGTTGTCTCATTGGCAATCATACCACATCTTCTTATTTTTATATGATATTTAGGCCACATAAAAGATATATACAAATGTACGAAAATATTTCGCCTTTCATAAATATGTTTAATATATTTATTTTTGTTTGATATCTAGAAAGGTAAAAATCATTTTTTTAAATAGAAATAAAATGAACAGTACTTAATGATGTTTTAAAAAAAAACAACTGTAAAATTCGAGTGGAGAAACATCTGTTGAATCAATGGGCGGACCAAAATCTAAATCAAAGTACTGAAGTACTGAACATCAGAGGACCTCATGTTATGTTGGATTATTGATAAATGACAGGTGTTTATATAATACCTGCCAGACAGATGTTCACCTTACAATATAGTACACATAATATAATTTGCTATCATATCTGAGATACCGTCTTATAGTAAGAAACTTATTTTTGTGAATTATCCATGAAATGTTTACGTGGTCAAATGAGAACTGCTAGATTGGCATTAGGACCGTATAGTTGCACACATGCAAAAATCGTAAGCTTATTACTTATAACAGAGAATCAACATAGCAAATAATTTTTTGAGTAGTCACTGAATTATGAGAAAGAGGTCAAGACAATCATATTAAAACAGATAAATTGTAATATTTGGGTGAAAGATACCACATGAACAGTAAACTCATATATCGATAATAAGCTGACAATGCCATGTCTAAAACTGAAAAAGACAAATAAGAGTACACTAGAAACAACATAGAAAACTAAAGCCTGAGCAACACGAACCCCACCAATAGTTTGGGTGATTTCAAGTGGTCTGGATGGGTAAGCAGATCCTGCTCTACATTTGGCAATTTATAAACAATGTATGTAGTATCCAGGTCTTCTATTTTATGAAACATTTTGTTTTCGAATCAATTGCTAATGTTTACACAGCAAGATTACTATATCTTATTCTTGCTTATTCCAGATTTTGTTGCAGTCGACACAATCTTTTTAAATGTTATAAATAGCTTCACTGAGTTATCTTTGTTTTATTGTAACACTTCATATCATTTATTTATTATGCGAAAAAAAATCAGCAGCTATAGGTTCTGTTTTTTAATTATTAGATGGTTCATTGTAAATATTACAATGTATTATATGAGGTAGATAGCCTTTCACTAATGATGGTATTATTGTTAATTGAATCTAACAACATCTGGATAGTTTTTCAAATGTTCGTTTTTTTTTTACTTTGATCCGATTTAGTACTTTGACACCACTGGTTTTCGCAATGAGATGATTTTGCACCATACATATAGATCACAACTTCAATATGAATGCGTCGGTCCTTAGTAAGAGGCCTGTAAAACAGGGCTTGTAATTCTTTGGTGTATATCTTTTGATTTTCTGTTTGTACATTGATGTGGCCATTAGTTTTCTGATTTATATTGTTTAATATTTGTCATTTCATGGCTATTTCTAACTGATTTTAGTATAGTTTTTTTCTGATTGTAAAGATGTTGTATGGTAAGCTTTATTTCTTTTTCATCATTTTGTTTCTGTGTCTGATTACCAATCATACCTCCCTTTTCGTGTCTCTTTTTTAAATAATGACAACAGTTTGGTTTCAATTTTCATTTATATATGTAACAATATAAAACAATATAAAACAGTATATATATAATCTCATTACATCATTAATATTGGTCATTGTTGGAATATATTCATCTTTAACAATGTACTGTTAAAGTGCTATTTTCTAACAGGTACTTAGTATTATGGTTATTGTGAAATCACTTATTCAAAGGACACGGTTCATTTATAGCCCAGAGCGGTCTAAAATATAAATCTTACAATAAAACTCCAAATAGTTCACAATTTGGTTCGTAAATTGGTCGATTTCAAAATTTATTAACGCTCAATAAATCAGTTCTTTCATAATAGTACATTATATTCTCCAAATTAATAGGCCCATTTTATCCAAATATAATGATTTGGTGCAATTTTCAGACATGAAAGCTTTACGAAAATTTGGGCACCACCTACAATCCAAAATGTTTTGTAACCAAAAGATTCAAAATTTGATAAAGAATTCATCAAAATAAAAACTTTTTGGAATTGTATGGCAGCCATGGTTAATTATGCAAAAAACATATTAATTTCAGACAAAATTGACCAAAAATACAAATAATGTATAATTATGGGGTCATAGCTTGAAGATATTTAATAGTAGGTGCCAAAATAGTATATTTTAGTCTTAATAGAATTATCACTAACATTTCTATTTATTTGAAATTTGTAATTGCTTGACCAATTTAGGGCCATTCTAACCCTTTGTGAACCTCTCTTTTCCTATAATACGTTGTAAATTTCTATTTGATATTCCTTAAAATATCCACATATACCAAAATACGTTTTTTTTAATTTTACATGATCCCATATATTTGATTTAATCCAGTTATATGGTTTTAAAAAATATCGGATGCCTATATAATTCTTTCATTGCCTTTTGTAGTTGAGTGGTTGTTTTATTCAATTAACAACTTTTATTTTTGTATACAGGATATTTTAAAAATGTGTTGGCGGATTATAAAAAATAAATGGATTGTAATTAAATATTTGACACAGCATAGGTTTCTGACACAGAATGAATGTGGTCTAAGAACTTAAAAAATTTTAATTTACCTATTCAAACCATATCATTATTATTTGCTTTTATATATAAATCAGAAATAACCAATTTAAAATGGAAAATTTTAAAGAAAAAAAAGGAAAAAAAATCCCCCCTCCAAATTTTTTGAACCTCCTTATGATTCATCACCCACAAACTCAATCC